CATGGAGGGGATTGGAACCATGGCAATGAGATGATATACGATGGAATTAATGTAAAACTAAAGTCCTCTCATGTAAACTACCATATAATTCACAATAAAACATTAAAAAAAAAAATTGGTTTGAACCACAAGGTCGGTGATTCAAACTCAACAGCCACTCCTAGGAAACCCTATACAGGGTCGCTATGGGTTGGAACTGACTCCGATAGCACTTAACAACAACTCTCCTGTGAGCACTGTACTTCTCACAACTACTATGAGGATTGTCTGAACTGACATCATTTTCATGCATCCAGGCTAAGAGACGTTTAGTAATTGACCAGGTCACAAAGCTCCAAATGGTGGTGGTGGTTGTTTGTTGTTAAGAGACATGGAGTAGGTTCCAACTCATAGCAACCCTGTATAGGTTTCCAAGCTGGTAGATTTGAGTGGCCGACCTTGTGGTTCGAAGTCCAGGGCTGATCCGACAGCACCACACCAGGAGGCCACATGGCTGAGACAGGTTCAACTTGGAGCTGTTTGTGGCCTCTCACTAAGGGCCTCACCCTCGTCTTCTGCTGGCGACAAGTCCTGGCAGGACACAGGGCAAACAAAGACATCCTCCTCACAAATTGGCGTGGCAAAGTCCACTCTCTCTTCCTTGCTACCAGAGTATCTCAGCCCCTCAACTCCCTCTTAATTAGCCGTGTGATCATGCCAAGATCCACTTTATTATTCGCTTGGCCTTATCGACCGGCTCATGTTGTCAGGAGCTGCAGAGTCTGGTGTTTCTCTTGCAAAAACAAACAATCACAGAGTATATCTTTTAGGCCCGATGGGCAAAGACTGTCAACAGAAAAGGTTTCTAGAATTAGGCAATGTCCCTTGTGAGGCCCAGGGGGTCCAGCTGCTTGACTGGGAGTCATGAGAACAGAAGGCCCATGGATCTGAAGGGGAGAGGTCTGACCAGGCCTGAAGTGGTGCACCCCCAAGGGCTCGGTCTGATGCTGAGATGGCAGCTGAAACATTGAGGGCCTCCGCTTAGGAGCCCAGGATGGTCAGCCAGTGGGTTCTGATGTAGCCATTGCCTAAAGCTCCACTGAGCTCCTGTGAGCAATCCCAGGGCAGGGCTGAGGCTGAGGAGGAGCATGGGGCTGGAGATGCAGTGTGCTCAGGGGCCCTGGGGTGGCCCTGGGGAGGGGTGGAGAAGCCCAGCTTAGGAGGAAGCCTTTCCCAGAGGCACCGGGGAGGTCCGAGGGTGGTAGCTGGATGCAGCACTGGTGTAAGAGGTGGAAGATGGGTCAAAAGAGGCAGGACTGAGGCCAGGAGGTTGTGAGGAAGGGAATGGAGTTGAACCCCAAGGTCTTGGAGCCTGGCATGGTTGGGAGGCCCCTCTGGCTCAGGGAGAGCAGGACTGGCTGGGATGATGAGTTAGATGCGCAGTGAGTGGGAATGTGTCCGGGGCAGCTAGATGCAGAGCTGGATTCAGGAGGGATGTGGGCTGGACTAACTTGAGTGTTACATCCAGAAATGGAGGCCAGTGTCCTATTCAGTGGGGTGATCATGGGAGTGAAGAGGATTGCCAAAGTGTGGTACATCCCTGCCCTAGGCTGCCCTCTCAGCTCTGCCTAGAATGGACCAGGCCTCTTGTTACCAAACCTGCCCATGTTTGGGCTGCAAGCCAGATTTCATGGGAAATAGTTTGGTTTTTAAAGTTAGCCATTAAAAATATTTGTTGTTAGGAAATGCAGATAGGTCTCTTGTGATACAATAGTGAATGATTGTTATCAGGACTGATTGTGAGGGTTGGAAATGTAAAGATAAACATTTTGTAGCAAGGAGGGGAGTGATTAACTTTGCAGTCTAGGAGCGGAGGTCCCTAGGACCATCAAGGAAGAAGAGCAGAGAGCGGGATCCTACTCAGAGAAGCAGTGATGCCCGAGATGGAGGCAGAGATGATGACGTGGAGAGATGGAGCAATTGGGGACTTTAGACCCAGAGAGGGAGAGGGGCTGTGTGCTGATGACCTGGGTGCAGGCTTGTAGTGTATACCCTTTGGTTGGTTGATGATGCATGGAGGGGGATTGTAATCATGGCAATGAAATGATATACAATAGGATGAATGTAAAACTAATGTTCTTTCATTTAAACTATCACATAATTCGCAATACAACATTAAAAAATTTTTTTGTTGCTGTTGTTAGTGACATTGACCAAATGAACCATATCTGTAGACTAGTTTTAGACTCAAAGTGGAGGGAGAAGAAAAGATCGTTCAAGAAAGTGCCTGAAGGAATGTTGGGTTTAAGGGGTGGGCAGACCCAAGGAGTCTAGCCAAAGAATGGACAGGAGCTCAGAGTGGAGGGGCCAGTCCAAGGAGGCTGCTGCTGACTGCGGTAAAAATAGTGGTCAGAGGCCAGACCCAGGAGGGAGGTGAGGAGGGGACATGGAGACAGGCCTGCCCAGAAGTGGCCTCTGGGCCATCTGTCATCAGGTAGGAGTGAGTGAGAGGGTGTACTCTCCTATCCTGAGCCTAACAAAACAGCCCCTTCTTCCACAGCAAAGTCACTCTGCTTGATGAGACAAAAATATATCCGTGGAACAGAACACCAACGAATCAGCCAAAAGAGGAAAGTTGAATCTACTTATAAAGGAGTTAATTCAATTTCGGCATCTCGTGCTGTGAATGAAGAGGCGGGACCCCTGCTCTGGGCCTGGCTGAGCCACATAGGAGCCACTGCACAACCTGACAATAGGGGCCCAGGCCCCTGAGTGCCTTCCTGGCTCCAACCAGCTTCGCGGAGAATAGGCCAAGGCTGCCTGTTCCTGGATGGGCCCAGCTGACATGTCAGCATTTTCCTGGGGAAGAGAGGCCTCATTTTCCTGGGGAACAAGAACCTCACCACGCTTGGAGTTAAGTCACACTGGACAAGTACTCACCCTCCTTCTAGAGGACAGGCCTGAGCCCAAAGCCCTCCTTGCCAAACCTCCACATCTCACAGGAAAGAGCGCCCACACCCCAACCATTTGCTGCCTCTGGGCACAGCAAGCTTTGTTTTGCATCAGATGCCTAAACTATGCTTCAGAAAACTCTGGAAGCACCAAGAGTGGCTTTTGGACAGAGAACAAAAAGTTGACACCATAAGCATCTCAGGCTCAGTAGAAGATAATGCATAATGACCAAATTACCACGGTCTAAAAACCCTTCCAATTGCATCCAAATTAGCTGAAATAATTATGATTCCCTTTAATTAATGACTGTGCAAGCAAAGCCACGCGCTGGTGGGCAGAGTGCCTGGCATGACAGCTGCGTGATGGCAGGAAGGGGGGGTTGAGGTCAGGCAGGCTGGTGCCTTCAGAGGCCTGCTTTAGGAGGTTCCTGACCCCTTGCCCACTCCTGGTCTTCCAGGCCCTCATCTACCTCCTGGGAATACCTGCTCAGTTACAGGGCCGGGTTGGCACTTACTTGTCAAGGGGTCCCCTGACTCCTCTTTTTTCCCCCTTGTCCCTGCCATCACCACCATGGCCCCTGTTAAAAACGTTACTACGAGAATCCCTGTAAGTATCACATTGTCCCCATTTCGCAGATGGACCCTGGAGCCTTTGCTCTTGTCCCTGCTATCATCTTTCTCTCTTCCTTGAGCAGGGCCTCTGTAAACCTGCCCTCCACCCCCTATCCTTGCTGGCAGACTGAGAGGACCTTTCCCATGTGGCTCTGGGAAGACTAGCCTGCGGCTGGAGGGCTGGGCAGAGCCTCTTACCTTGAGGAACAGCGCTCCCTTGGAGGCCAGGGCGTCTTCCCACCGCCCGTTGGGGTAACAGTGATAGGCCACGTCCATAATGGGGTAGCGGCTGGCGAAGAAGAGGCCACTGTTGAGAAACTTGAAGTTGCAGCAGCCGTGGCAGTGGCGGCAGCCCTGGCAGCCATAGACCCCGACGTCATACAGGATGTACTCGAAGTAGCCATGCAGTTGGTCTTTCAACTTAGCGGCTGCCCGCTTGTCGAACACCTCCTGCAGGCACAGGAAGTCCAGGTTGGCAGGGAAGAAGGCTGAGATCTCGTGGTCAAAGGCCTCGTCTGGGTGCCGCCTCTTGCGCGCAGCGGCCTTCTTCACCACCGAGGCCTTGTATAGGAGCTTGCTGTTGGTGGCACCTGGCTCCCCGCCACTGCCATCTGCCCCGGCTCGCACCTTCACCAAGGACTCCCTGGAGGCCGAGGGGCTGCCCAGGCTCCCCGAGTCCCCATCCCGCTGACTGTGGTTGGGCGTCTGGCCCTTCTGGCCCCCACTGCCTCCGTTCTTGGTCTGGCTCCCGGGGGCAGAATCTTCTGTTTCAGGGGGCCGGCCCCCCTCTTCACCACCAATGCGCACAATGCAGGCATCCTCTAGGCTGCTGCTGTTGGTAGGGTCCCCAGAGGCGGGGCCATTCACAGCCTCCTCCGCAGAGCAGCGCCTGCCCCCGACTTCACCTTTGTACTCCACCGAGGCTGTCCTCTTCATGCTCCCCGGAACGGTCCGGGCCACGCCATCGCTGCCCTGCGGGGACACCAGGCTGCTGAAGCTGGCTGCACTGATGGAGGTGTTGGTGGGGGAATCAATGTAGATCTTGATCTGAGGTCGGCTGGCCCCATTGCGGATTCTCTGCCCGATCTCTTTGGCCCGTGCTTGGATGTGGAAAACATTGTTGAGTCTGGCAAGTGATTCGGGGAGGAGGCAGAGGTTGGCGGTGGCGAAGCAGAAGCTTTTGCCAGTACCTGTACCCCTCCATTCACCAAGCAGAGCTGCCCCACCGCCAGGACCCTTGTCCTCCAGCCGTGAGTAGATGTAGGGCCTGCGGACAGATTGCAGAGGGGACCAGAGGAGGAAGCCAAGAAAGGCCAAGGGCAGTGCAGCGACAAGGAGTGCCAGGTAAATGGGTGTGAAGAGGATGATGCAGAGAAGCTGGACGTAGCACCGGCTCTCAGCCCGGCGCCGCTTGTCGCCTTTGATGGAAGTGAAGGGGGTCAGGAGTCGGTCCAGCAGGCAGTAGCATGGGGAGATGAGGACCCAGGACACGGTGTGCAGGGCGGACAGACAGCTAGTAGAAAAGGGGGTCGTGTACAAAACCATCGCAGCTCACTGGGCGCCGTGGCCACCCCTTCTACATGATGTCGTGGCAGCTTCGGCCACTTTCTGGAGGCTGGGGGAATTGGGAGGGCAGCTGGAGGTGGCGTCAGCTCCTGGAGAGATGGGACTCTGGATGGTCACTGGCAAGTGTCGACCAGCCGCTCATGGTTAGCTCAGTGGGCCATCGTAGGCGTGGGGTGCTAGAGAACCTACAGAGACAAAAGGTGGGTGGAGTAGTACTGATCTTGGAGGGGAGGTTGGCTGTTGGTGCCACTGTGCTTACTTGCCCTATTCCCGCTGCCTCTGATGTGAGCAGATGGTTCTGAGGACAAGTCCCCCCAGGCGTGTGAGACCAGGCCTGGGACCAGGAGGTCACCTCATCCCCGTCTGCCTGTGTGTGTCCTATCCTCTGAGTGAACGTTTCAATGATATGGCTGCCGCCTAGATACCGTCTTGACTTTTTAATATCATTGCCTGAAAAGTGGCCTAAGGCTTGAGGGCTTTGTGGCTACTTTGGATAACGAGGTCAGGGGGAATCCTTAAGGATGCCTGGGCCTGACCCTGGCCTGGAGCAGTGGGCAGCCCAGGGGCATGTTTAGAATGGGTGGGTGGGTGATTCTGGGTCAGAGCAGCTGCCAGATCATACTGGCTGGGATGGCCTGAAGTAGAGGAAGGGTGACTTAGGGCCCTGACAAGGGACAGCCCCACCTACAACTAGGCTCCAATATCAGACCAGAGCCAAGTTCCCAGCCCCACTGACTCCCAGCAAAAATACCCATAGTAACTTCAACACAATCAGTTCTGTGCCTTTTGGGAGGCACTCCCCTGGAGCTTCTGGGTCTGGACCAAGCTTCAACCACTCTGTCCATGACCCCCCAAGATGTAGCCCCTGGATCCAGCAGAGACTCTCGAATGTCAGGCTCTCCCTGACACCCCAGGTCCTCCTCCCAGTGCATGTGGGTGCCAGTGTGGGTCTCTGAGAAGGCCGAAGGATCCTTCCTGGCAAGAAGCCACCAGGTGCACGTAATGTGAAATCAATAACGACAAAAGTCTGGAGTGTTTACCCAACTTCCAGGACCTGTGGGTGGTCATTCGCTAGCCAAGTTTATATAAGCGCAGTCTAAAATTTCCCTTACTAAATCGGCCCACTTCCTCCTCCCTTACTGCCCTGGAACCATGGTGGGCTGTATCCATACTGTCACCCATCTTGGTCCCAAAGCTTCTCCTGTCTCCTGAATCCCTGCTCACCGTGTTCTAAGCTAGGAATCTCAGTCCTCCAAAAGTCCACCATTTCCTTCTGCCCCTCCCCACAGCCCTCCTAACTGGTGGCCTCCCTCCATCAAGTCATCCTTTACCACTGACAGAAGGGTTTTTATCTGCCTGCATCTGACCATGTCACGGCCCCCCCAACCTCACCAAGTCCCATCCCCTCCGCCAGGACCACCCACCTCTGCTGCCTTGTTCTGCATTGATGCGCACCTCCTAATCGCTGTGATGGTGGCTTTCTGCTCACCCACTATTCTCATGTCTCTGCCCCTGGCCTACCTCACCCTTCTAAGATTTAGAGGTCACTTCTTTGGTCCCTCTTCCTCAGGTGGCTTAGGCGGCTCCTGTCCCCTCATGCACAACTTAGTTGTCTTTGCAATTACAGGTCATAAATGCTTACGGGATTGACTTGAGGTGTGATGGCCCCTCGAGGGTGGGCTGTCTAGGACCCTCACAAACACTAAGTAAGGAGCTAGCTAAGCCCTGACGACAGGAGACAGAAAAGAGGGTCTGTTCTGTTGGTATCAGTGCTGCCCCTGCAAGCAGAACTGACCCATGGCTCCCTTAGGGTCAGAGGTGGGTGCAGCCTCACTTAATCAAAGATTTCCTGAAAGAATCCCCTGAACTTGGGATCCATTGTCAGCTGGGATCTGGCGGGGGTTCTGGGTTTTCCCAGGACTACAGTAAGAGGAAAAGGTCCCTCTGTCAGCTATTCTGTGCCTCCCTCATTCCTGCTGTGACCCCTGAAGCCTTTATGGGCAACTCCCCTCTCCAACCAGGCCTGCAGGGGCAGTGAGTGGCCAGCCTGACCTTTGCTTCTTCTGGGCTTTTGGTCCCATTGAGGCACCAGGGGGTTTGAGGTGGCTGGCAGCCCACAGGGCTGGCGGGCAGTGGTGGCCACCTCGGCTATTCTCTAAGATGTGGCAGATCCTTGGGGTGAGGATCCTGCCCTGGCCTGGCTATCCGTCGTGGCTACTGTCCTGAGCCCCTCACCTGCCTCTCCCTCTGGTGGTACCCTGGGCAGAGGTTTGAGGCTGTCCTGCTCTGCTGCTGTGTGATTTCCCACATCGATGCACAGAAGTTGCTGCCGCCACCGCCACCGCCACTACCGAAACCACAAAAGGATTGCAACCACTGGAGCTGGTTTCTAAGGCTCTGTGGTTAATTATTTTGTCTCACTGAACTGAAAGGAGGGTAAACAAACAACAACACGCTAATTAGTCTGATCTACACTTTCTCATGAAAGAGGGAAGCTAGACTTACACACGAGAGGCTGGTGACTCCTCAGAGACTCCTAGTTCTCTCAGGGGTGGCAGGGCAGATGCAACTGCCCCAGGCCCGGTCCCCAGCACTCAGTCCCACCCTTCCTCCCTTTCCTCACCTTTGCACCTTCAGCTGGAGTTGGGTGATTGTGAGTAGGCCCAGGCCAGGCTCTGTCTCCTTAAGAAGCCCCTCCCCTCCAGGCCCACGGCTCTTCTTCCATGTCCCTGAGCTGGCCCTTTTGCCAAGCTAAGTCCACCATGAACACCTCTGATGGGATGGAAAGGTCCCTAGAGGCCAAGTGGGCTGAACTTTGCCAGCTCAGCCTCAGAGCGGATTGCTCTTTACAACAAACTGTCTCCCCTGGGTCTACTAGGATCCTTAGTCCTAAGAGTGCCTCCCATAAACGCCATGGTCTTCAGAGCTGGCTTGGAGCCCCAGATACTCTCAGGTCCTCATGGCTCCTGAAAGGCCCCAAAGAGACTCCCAAGCCCTGGGGCCAGTGCAAGGGCTGCATTGTGCCCAAGGGAGGACCTCAGACTAGTCCCTTCCCCCCAGCTCCATTGCTCAACACTTAGCTTTGGGCTTGGGAGTCAGCTGACCTGAGTAAAAACCTGACACTGGAGCCATGCTCTCTGAGTCTCTACTTCCTCATCTATAAAATGGGATAACAATGAAAGGATTAAAGGTGACCAAACCCGTAACAAAGCTATTACCTCTTTGATCACTCCTCCCGAGAGTAGCTTCTGCATGTCTCATTTGTTGTCTGTGTTCCTGGGTCCACACTGGCTACCACACAGCTTTGGGCAGGGGCCCTGACCTCTGACCATCCCATCATAATGGTGACCATTACAGTACAGGTAGAACACGATGAAGCAGGTAGAAATGCTCAGTCCTTGCCTGCTTCCTTTCTCTTAGCTAGGATGCCATTTGCCTGCCACATACTTTGGCCCCCTTCAGCCTCAAACAGCAGCCCATGAAGACCTCATGGTCACCCACTGTTGCTCTAGAAGCTGATTACCTAGCAAGGAGGTCAAAGCCCCAGACACTCACGGGTAGGTCTTGGGGAGGGACAGCAGGTGGTTCCATGATGCTATTGCTCCTGTAAGCTACCAATGACCTGAGGTTAACCTGCCTGCACCAAGCTGCCATGCTGGTAAACTGACCTGCAGGTACCACAGCATGAGAAGGGGGTGGACCATGACTGCTCACAGGCCTGAACTGACATGAAGCCCCTCCCTGCTATACACTGTCCTCCAGAACTCTGGGGTGGGCTGATCACCCAGTGACGGCATCCTCAGGCCTAAGCCTGGCCAAGTCTGGTCCTATTTGGGGCCGGTCCCTAACAGGACCTGCTGCCAGGTATGATAGGACAGCGGTACCAAGAAAGCCATTCCACGTCCCTCCCCCTGGGAGAGCCAGCTCAGGGACAAGGACTTGCCTGCACAGAGACTCAAGAAGTTCAAGGTGGACACAGACTTTGGATTTCTCTCATAGCAGTAAAGTGAACAAACCAGACCAGTTTGGTGGGACTGGCACAAGTCCTGACCTCTCTTAGGAGAGCATCTTTAGGGCTCTCTGAGGCCTTGAAGAGCTTCTGAGAAGTTGATAAGGGCTAGCAGTGGCTCTGGTTTTGGGGCTAGGAGGGGACTCCGTCACTCCTTCATGGCCCTTCCCTCTGGTCCTAATGCTTGCTGAGCCCTCTCCTCCCAGCATGTGGGCTGGGAGTCCTATAGCAGATGGATGTCCTTCGAGTCCTCATTGTGTCCATAGGCTTATCTGTAACAGGAGCTGGGCTAGGTCCCAGGTTCCAGTATAAAAGGCTGTGTGGATTGCTCCAATCCAATTACCCCAATGTGCCTGCATCCACCAGTGGCGCCTAGATCTACCCAGCCTGTTTCTGCCTGGATGCTTATCATAGAGAGGCGTTGGCATGGCAACGAGTGCTCTGAGCTGCTAAAACTTGGAGTCAAGTTGTTGCTGGGAGGATGGGAGGAAGACTGAAGAAGATGCCTTTCTATATGATGTGGGGCCAGACATTCCCAGGCTAATCCCTGAAAGCCACCTCTAAGAAGTGGAACTAGGAACTGGGGCCTTGCGTGAACATACACATCGTAGTGGTGATACCTCATGGACATAGGTATGGCTGGGAAATGCATAGTCATCTTTCCAGAATATGCTTCCCTCTCCATGAAACCTCTCCAGTTTCTCCACTTTGCCTAAATCCTCCCTGCTGTGCATACCCTATAACTATCACTAGACTGAAGCACATGTCAATTTCATATCTGGTCCCACCATCAGCTGGGGTGCCCCGATGGAACAAACACCTCTCGGCAGCAACACAAACCAGGGTCCCATCTGACTGCACCATTCCTTTTGTCTGTCCTGCTCCAATCCAAGGGGAGGGCAGTGAGCCAGGCCAGGCCAATCCGAGAAACACAACCCTAGTACTTGGGTCACAGACCCGAGATGAATCA